CACATGCCAAAAGATGTAGTTGTCGGCCGACAGCTTGATGGTGATGAGGTGGCCGAAGTGAAAGGCGGCGGCGGTGCACCCATCGAGGAGGCTGCCTGGGGTGACGACACCATGGAGGCAGTCAAGGGAACCGTGGGGGCAGCCGGAGGTGTAGACAGCGCCGAGGCAGCCGGCGCCATGGCTGGGGCCGACGCCGCAAGGCCCGCCATCAAGGCAGGCTGGGGCGCCCCCTGGTAGAGCGGCGGGAGAGAACCCGCAGCAGGGGCGGCGGACGAAGAGGCGCCGGTGTGGACTGCGAGCTCGTGGCCGAGCGAAGACGCAGCCGATGATGTTGAGAAGAAGTAGCCGACGCTCCGTGTTCCAAGCGGAGATTGCACGGCAGACGCATCCAACGGGCGGGACAAGAGCGCCGTGAGGGAGGCCAGCAGGAACCCTGCAGAGGTGGAACCGGAGGCTGAGGTACCCACCATGGCAGCGACGCGATTGGGGAAGAGCGTGATCGGGCGGCGGCGGCGATGGCGGCGGCGGTTTTAGGGTTTAGCGGAAGCGATCGTAACCTAGCGTGATACCATGTAAGACAATACGTTTTGGGAGAACCGGCACAACCCTCTAGGGGTGGCCTATCACATATACATAATGAGGTGGTATACAACGTTACAATATACACGTCTAACATACCAAAATCCTATAAGGGGTTCCTATCAGAGCGCTGCTGGTAGTTGGCCAAGTTAGCGGCAGCGTGCCGTTCCATGTGCTTGTCCATAGACCGACCCTGTGTGTTTTGCTTGCCGGTGGATCGGTGCCATTGCCATGGTAGGGAGGGGATAGGGTTCCTCTAGTCTGTCAGTGACATGGCACCAAATTCTTTGGGATCTGATCTGATATCATCGGTCATTTTATCTCCTTTGCTATATGTTTTTTCGCCCCTCGTCCTAGAACAACTTGTTTTCTTTGTGTATGGACTAGTGGGCTACAATGAGGCTCGTCTCTAGGTGATCTTTACACACAGTGGGTTGCTTTGGCTGAGAATCTCCCAAGGTGCTCTAGAATCACTAAATATCTTTGCTCTATGGCGAGCTGCCCCAACTTCCGATGGTTCAGCATCCTTCGACCCAGGGCAAGGGGTAGGGGGCCCCTTCGGAATTGCAGAAGGTTGGTTTTGTCAATGGTGTCTACCTTTCGAAATAGATGAGGGTGTGTCCATCGTTGCTGGCAGTGTATCCTGTATCCTCTTGAAGTTTGCTCGCTGTCATTTGTATTGGCGCTTCATTCGCGTCGAGGATTCCATCAACATCGAGCTAGCCTTTCTATAGTTTATCTTTGTGTGATTGTTGTTGTGGTGCTTGTAAGCTGCTTTGGCAACACCTTCTATGTGGCATTTTCAGTTTCCTTGTTTTTCTTTCATTGGTATTGGCCGATGTAATTTCTGGCCAGTTGATGGCTTCCTTAATTCGAAACCTGGCTCTGCTTAATCCTTCTTTCTGAAAAAAAAAACCATCCTCCATTTGTCGGTGCCACGACCAATGATTCACCACTGCCAACGGCAAGAGAATCTAGCAGTGCAGGGCCGCTATGATGACATGATGCCACTAGTTCCAAATTGCAACTCCATGCATCCAGCTAGCGTGCGCACACAGAGAAAAAAGCTAGCATGCATACACCCGAAAAGAGAGAGAGAGAGAGAGAGAAGCGCATGCATACACACGGAAGCCCGATCCCGAGGTTCACAACAACATATACATTTTCCAGCTTTGTTTCAGCTACGCAAGATTCATTTCCCAGCACCCAGCATCTTAATGAAGCCACAGACCTGTGCTCGCTGCTTATTGCATGTGCAGCAGCTGAAGCAGTCTGCTAGAAGACGCCCCAAAGTCCGCATGTCCAAAGCGAATTCACTCATGAGGACGCCGAAGCTACAGACGTAGCTCTTGCCGTGTCGGTGATCCTCCCGCGTAGTGGTGCAGCTGACGCGGCCGGCATCATAAGGAAGCTGAAGACCTTTGCTCGCTCCTCATGGCATGTGCAGCTGCAGCGGTCCACTGGACAACTGTGCTTGGTGGTGGGTCTAGGTTGCTAGCTAGCCACTGGGAGCGGCTGGCTCATGCACACAACGAAGCTAGCTACTCCTTCCATTCCAAAATAATTGAAGTTCTAGAATTGTCTTAAGCTAAACTTTTTAAAGTTTGAGTTAGTGTATAGAAAAATCTCCGAAGTTCTATATATGGAAAAGGTTCCAAGTCTCCATGTGTACAAATAGTTACACTCATGTTGGCATAAGAACAACAAGATATGAGTAAACCAAAAAACTACATTCATATGCATAATTTATGCCGTATTTTTATGATCGGATATAGGCTGGGTTTGAGGGGTGCCGGTCAAACCCGGACGTATAGGGCCGGTTTGAGGGGGGTGGCTGGATCACGTTTTTCTGACTAGGCACTAATTGCTTTGGCGATTTGAGGAGTCCGGCTAGATGCTCTAGCAATACACAAGCAAGTTCCTCTTAACTGTTCTGACTTGCTAGTATATATACACGCCAATGAGAGAACATTAGGACACAGCCATTGTAGTCTTGTTGAAATCAGAAATGCATTTGAGAATAGTTTTCTCCTGTGCTCTGCTTCTAGTGACGGTAGTGTCTCCTCCTTTGGCTAATGCGTCCAGCAAAGCAGTAAGATCGACACTTCCTCTTTTAGTTTAAAGGACTTTAATTTGGTTTTTTCCTTCATACTACTTATATCAACTCGGCTTGCTCTGATATTGTTCCTGGACATCCTTTTGCATAACAAAGATACATCAGGTCTACATTGTGTATCTGGGGGAGAAACATGATGATCCCTCCATGGTCACCGCATCACACCATGACCTACTAACCTCGGTTTTGGGGAGGTATGACATAGTTGTTGAGGTTTGCATCCTAATAAGTACCATGAAACTCATGTACTTGCTCATATTTTGTTTTCTTTGAAACAGCAAGGCTGAAGCCTTGAAGTCCATAGTTTACAGTTACAAGCACGGATTCTCTGGGTTTGCAGCAATGCTCACCGAGTCTCAAGCCGAGACACTTGCAGGTAATAATCTGTTAATCTAAGAGACTAAGACGGCATCACACGACACGTTATCTTTGATGATGGGTCCAACCTAACTAAGATTGTTCCAAATACAGAATTCCCCCAAGTCATCAATGTGAATCCTAACACTTATCACCAAGTACACACAACTCGCAGCTGGGACTTCCTTGGCCTTGACTATAAGAACAACCACCAACAACAACCGAGCCTCCTTAGAAGAGCAAAGTACGGTGAGGATGTCATCATTGGGGTGATTGATACAGGTTTGCGATCTCATCCTTAATACCACCTAGCTTATATTTGCATCATAAATATACTGGCTAATCCATGTGTACTTTTGTTGAAACAGGCATATGGCCTGAATCACCAAGCTTTGAAGACAACGGATATGGATCTATACCGGAACGGTGGAGAGGCACATGCCAAACTGGCCAGTCGTTCGACAACACAAAATGCAATCGAAAGATAATCGGGGCACGGTGGTACGGCCACGGCATCAGGGCAGCAGTGCTTAAGAGAGATATCATGTCGCCTAGGGACTCAAACGGCCACGGAACACACGTAGCATCGATAATCGCGGGTAGCCAGGTGAGTGGTGTGAGCTATGGGGGTAACCTAGCCACAGGCACAACACGCGGCGGAGCGCCACGCGCGCGTCTAGGTATCTACAAGGTGTGCTGGGGGGACAAGGGCTGCCCTGACATGGCGATCCTGGCGGCTATCGATGACGCCATACACGATGGCGTGGACATCTTGTCTATCTCGTTGGGACTGGCCGGCCATGAGATCCCAGGGACGTTGCATGCTGTGCTACGAGGGATCTCCGTCGTGGTCTCCGGGGGTAATGATGGTCCTGTGCCACAAACGGTGTCGAATGCCGTTCCATGGGTCACTACGGTGGCCGCTAGCACAATTGACCGTGCTTTCCCCACTCTAATATCTCTCGGAAACAAGGAAAATCTAGTAGTACGTGCTGATCGTAGATTAATAATCTAATTTATCCTTTAACCTATCATTACTTACTCTTAATTTTTTCTTAATTACCACGCAAAGAATTCTTACTTTAATATCGAACACATTCAGGGGCAGTCTCTTTACTATAATGCATCTGTGGTCAGCAACAACTTTGAGGACCTTGTTTATGGGCGAAGGTGCGTAACTAAGTAAATAAGTATAGATAGATCGAGAGAAGTCACTTGAAACATTTGATTGAGTAAATATCCCCTCTCACTTTAAAACTCTTGTGTGTATATGTAGCTGCAACGAGGCATCACTGGCATCGAGAAACGTCACTGGTAAATTTGTGATGTGCTACGCACCGGAGGCGCCGCCTGGTGCACGCCTCCATACAGCCATTTACCATACGATGGATGCCGGTGCCAAGGGATTAATCTTCGCGCAGCATGCCAACAATGAACTCGACACTCTGGACGAGTGCGACGGCATCATGCCTTGTGTGCTCGTGGATTTCGAGATCGCGGAGAGAATCCTATCATACTGGGGCATCACAGGGTACGTACATTGGCCTGTAGATAAAGGATGAAGAAGAACACCGTCATTTGATTATTTATTATGTTTTTTCTCAAAGATTTTCTTCACCCCTGATGGCTTCTGTCATGCTAGGAAACCGGTGGTGAAGGTCTCGCCTGCCGTGACTGTTGTTGGAGATGGGGTGTCGGCGCCGAGAGTCGCCTCATTCTCGTCGAGAGGCCCGAGCCCCTTGTTCCCGGGCACACTCAAGGTATTTCATCTTTAGCTGTGTCAAATAGACTGTAGTTCGTCCTTGTGACACCGTTAGCTATCTGGCCTCCCTGATTGTTTCAGCACTAGTTAGGACTTGCATCTTTAATGCATGCTTGAACTGCAGCCTGATATATCTGCACCGGGAGTCATCATCCTGGCGGCCATGAGAGGCTCCTACCAGTTAATGTCTGGAACGTCTATGGCATGTCCTCATGTCTCTGCGGTCACCGGCCTGCTCAAGTCAGTTCACCCAGACTGGTCGCCTGCCATGCTCAAGTCTGCTATCGTCACTACCGGTATATGGGCACTCATAGACGGTCAATATTAATTAGGTCAAAAAATTAGACACATTGCATGTAGTACATGGCTAACTTGATCATTGTTTTCTGCTGATATGAGTCATTGCTGCAGCGTCGTTCGTTGATCTTTTTGGTATGCCGATCCAAGCAGAGGGTGCCCCAAGGAAGCTTGCCGACCCCTTCGACTTTGGTGGTGGCAACATTGACCCAGACAGGGCTGCTGACCCCGGATTGGTCTATGACGTGGATGCAGGAGACTATATCAAGTTCGTCAACTGCACCCAACATGGATCATGGCTAGACGACTGCGAGTTAAACCAGCGCAACCTCAACCTCCCGTCAATTGCTGTGCCAAACCTCAAGGACTATGTCACGGTCCGACGCACTGTCATGAACGTCGGGCCATTGGAAGCAACCTACCGAGTGGAGGTTGAGGCTCCAGCAGGCGTAGCAGTGTCCGTGGAACCATCTGTGATTAATTTCACCAGAGGCGCTAGCAGAAGTATAACATTCGTGGTGGCTTTCACTGCAAGGCAGAGAGTGCAAGGTGGGTACGTCTTTGGGAGCTTGATATGGAGGTCAAATGGAAGTGCACACTCAGTGAGAATTCCAGTTGCAGTACGAACTGTGATACAAGATTTTGTTGCAGATACATCATAAATCCATGTGCAGTTTAGTTGTGCATCTTCCTAAGTTCATGTATTTATCTCAGAGTCATAATCTCAGCCCCATCACCACCACCTACAAAAGATTGAACGAGTGGTATAAGGCACTCCCCTAGCTTGTTCTAAGCTCTTGGGGAGGTGGCCGTGGTATCTTTCCATTTCATATTTATTTTCTACTTGAATTAGTTATATCCTCTTTTTTTTCCTTGGCTCTATTTGTGAGCCAATACTGGACCTGAGTTCTTGTTTCCGTACTTTAATTAAATAAATAGGTTGCATGGATCACTCTGATGTAGAGGCCGGGGGCTATCCTCCTTTTCAAAAAAAAGTAGTGTGTTTTATTTTCTAAAATTTTATTTGTAAAGCGTGTTATTCCTCTCGAGAGCAATACTAGTGAAGATATGGGATAAGAGTTTTCCTTTTGTTTTTCATTGTTATATATTCTAAAATGGCAATTCCTTATTGTAAAGACTTTCTCATGGCAGGTTGTGATTTTACCATAATTAGAGGCTTTATAAGAAAAATAAATGTTATATTTACCTAAACACCCACACTTATTTATTGAACTTATGAAACTTGATACAAAAGGAGAGATATATACATGCAAAAAAACTTATTTTCATCACTTTTTTTGTAGATATTCAACACGTTATTAGTTGTGAACCATCGGTACATATTCATAAACTTGAATAAACTATTTTGGATAGACATGGAACACTACTAGATATATTGTATATAAGTGTTTCTTTTTATTAAAAAAATGACTGTATGTAAATTACTAATTTATCTCTCATGAAGCCTCTAACAACAATGTTTATTTCTTAGAGCCTTTGCTAGCAAGAACCCATGTAGGTACTTACAATGAACTTTCTACTCTAAAAATAATGAATTTTGTTGGTGCAACCAGTCTCCTTGAACCATGTCACACTACTGCATATCCAGTTAGCACTAACCGGCCAAAAGTAGTCACCACTAACGTGCTCTGGCCCATCACTGATGATTAGTTCATTGGTGACAGACTAGTTGGCCTGTCAGTGATTCCGTGAAATCACTGACCACCTGGCCAATCAGTGATGATTTTCAAGAGGCAACCCAGAAGTTCATCCCTAAGCCATAGTGGAGAGTAACTTACACTAATATCATACACATATCCCTAGACTATGTTACTATCTTCATAGTGGGTAGTAACATAAGTGTGGTGTCATGCAAAACTTAGTTTATTAGGTTATAGACTCATATTGCATTGAGACATGTGATGTTATAGTAACTAGCTAAGTTACTCAAACTATCCCTCTCCTCATTAACTCATTGCCACATAAGCAAATTTGCTGAGTTAGACTCGAAGTTACTGCTGAAGTTACTCCCACTGTGGTTAGTCTGACTGATTGCAAGTCTACGGTCAATAAATGATGGCAATTTCTGTATTGCGCAACTTTGGTGCTGCACTGCTTGCAATCTACTAGCAATGCAGCCCCTGATGCACTACAACACAAAGTCATACACATGCACAATAATATATACGCACATCCACCATAATCGCATTACATTTCATACATACATTGGCTTATGTCCAAATGTGTTGGGCCAACATAATTTATATACTTAATATCATAGATATATCGGCATTACTAAATAGCATTGTAGAATTCACATGCATACACACGGTGTAGGATCGATAAGTATGTATAGGG